AATTACATGACTGTAAGTAAAAATACAGATTGCGCGCTATTTAGCAGTTTAGAAGCTGTTCACGTCTATTACAGTACCAACGAATGCCAGAACACACACATTTCTCTCCAGAAATTTCATGGCGATGTATCTATAGTATGTATTCCAAGGGGAATCATTATCTTCATGACAAATGCTGTGTTTCAACTGCTATTGACATTTATGTTCCTCTTCAAAGTCGCTGAATGTCATAAATATCAATAAAATTCAGATGTGGGCGTTTTGATAAGTTATATATCATGAAAAACGACAAAAACCCGAAGCACTTTGAATTAGTTCCATTCGTTCTGCAGAGTTGGAACCGAGGCGTGTACGAACCATCCAAGCCATTGTTAAAACTCGCCACGGGTATTTGTCTTGCTTTGTCAGTAGCATGTCGATTTTGTTGGTTTCCTCAACATTTAGATCACAGCAGTAATAAGATCGCTTAAATGAGCAGCAGTCCATTTTCACACATATCCCTACACCTGGCTGTTAGTTATTTGTATCCTGTATACCTGTACCATACATTTTCTTTTGGCAATAAAAGCAAATTATTTAAGAAATACTGTTTGATCTACCCTCATGTATAAGGTACAGTCTTAACCTGAACTGTTATAGTTAAAGCACGAGGACGCAAGCAAGTGATGTTCAGAGTATAGTTAGGGAAACCTACACCAAAATATCGGTATTATTCGGTAATAAAGGCGCTTTAATCCATAGATTCGTATCCTTTCTTAGGACTCTATAATCCCCAGGGAGTTGAGATTGAAAATACGATGTGCCGTTGAGACTGACATCCAATGATCAAGGGAAAAAGCGCCTTTGAGCAGCTGAGCTGGATATTGGCGCTATACAAATATAGTAGTAGTAGTAGTAGTAGTAGTAGTAGTAGTAGTAGTAGTAGTAGTAGTAGTAGTAGTAGTAGTAGTAGTAGTAGTAGTAGTAGTAGTACTAGTAGTAGTCTAAATGCTCAACAAGATATATGTGTATCATGTCTTTTGAAGTTATTTGATCGCACGTGTATATACATGAAACAGGTATTTTACTTCTTCCTGTAAAATATTGAGACCAAACATAAACTGGCAAAGCTCACATTTATTCTAAGTGTTGATGATACAATTCATCAAATTAATTTCATTGACAGATGGGGCTGTTGTAACGTGTTTAAATATTTCCATAAACATGTGACTGTTCGTTCACATCGTGCTAGCAAGTGTATTGCTATCTGTACTCTGACAACTACGTTAATCCACTAATACGTGTCCTGGATTGAAGTTAAACACATTCCGTCATGCTTATGCTATTTACAGGTGCTCATTCGATTTCCAATGTTGCAGCTGCATGTCCATATCAGTAATCCACTTTCTTGGAACGATCGGGAATATCAGGATAATCATATGTGATTTGGATTCCCCCATGTCCATATCCTGCATCATACCATGGTTTGATGTAATTATTGAAACCAGCTCTGTACAGACGCGCGGGAGTATACGGGCTACCGTGAGCCATTGTGTCAAAGAAGCTTCTTCCATGTGGTCCGGGGCTCGCTTGGCCTTGTGCATAGTGTCCGGTGCCAAGAGGGCCTCGTGGAAACTGCGCCATTCCAATAGGTCCTTGTGCGTATTGCGGGATGCCTTGTCTGCCATGAACGTATTGACTGCCACCCAGAGAAGCGTGTACGTATTCCGGTGTGTGCAGCATACCAGGTGCGTACTGTCTGGGGCGTTTTGTGGTTTGAGCGTATTGCCCGGTACCTTGGGAAACCTGAGCGTATTGCGAATTGCGTAATATACCACGTGCGTATGGCTGAGGGCCATGTGGACTTTGTGCGTATTCCCGGACGCCTGCTGCTCGGCCTCTGTAGTAAGTCGGGCTCCAAGGATTGCCTGCAACTCGTTGAACACTCACAGGGGCTGCTCCAAAGGGTACTGCAGTCAGTGGCACAGCACTGTATCTCGAGTATGGGTTATAGAATGCTTCTGAGAAGCTGCCGGCAACGACAACAATGACGAAAACGTGTGTCCACATTATTACTGAAACAAAGAAGTGATATTTGTGTTAATTCCGTACGTAATTTAAGACTGACAGACTGACTGAGTATGGTTTTACGCCGCTTTTAGCAATATTCCAGCAACATCACGGCGGGGGACACCAGAAATGGGCTTCACACATTGTACCCATGTGGGGATTCGAACCCGGGTCTTCGGCGTGACGAGCCAACGCTTTAACCACTAGGCTACCCCACCGCCCCCGTAATTTAAGATGTGCGTCACGTGGAAAATAGAAAGGATAATGGTATATTCTCATATTTACATTTTATGTGGCGACATATAATTCAGGTGGGCATAGTACAACTTTTAGCATAGGTTCAGGTGTATCACTTGCACGGTGTGTCACCTGGATATCTGAGTATACTTCAGAATGTGACCAAACAACGATTGTCTTGTATCTAAACGAAGATGTGGTTGAGGAATACAGCGTTATCGATCACCTATTTACCAGACAGTGCTTAAACATATGTCTTATTACATAGGTTATTCGAAAATACAAACTAGCACTGTAAATGTAATTACTGATATTTTTCATTCTGAAACTGCTCACATTAAGGAAAAAGCAATAAATGTGTTCGTCAGTACCCACCTTGTAAAGGATTGTTTCTCGCGGAGGCGGAAATTCCCTGGAACTGGCAGATTTTGGCGGTTCACGTACATTTATAGGCGACGTGGTTTACAAAAAATGTACCCCGGTGATCTAGTCAAACATGAGACCAGTCGTGTTGATGTTGTCCTAGCTCGGGTTTTTCCTTTAGAGAACGTGTACTTGTTACAGAGCACTGTAAGATGCAAATTTTACAATGTTCAGCGATGTCAACAACATGTAACATCACAGATGAATGTCACTTAAACATTAACAAAGACGGATCGTAACATGTTGGGTCACATGTACACCAACCTTGCATGTTCTGCATGTGGCGTCAGATGTAACGGTATTATCAAATGTTCAGTCCAAGAGCTGTATAACCTCAAAACTATATTTACATTTACCGTGCACGTTTAGGCGCACGGGGACGGTCTATACATACACCCCAGCTGGTAGTTATAACATTACAGGGACGGTTGAGTAGCCTAGTGTAAATATGCAATGCTTTTAAGGGCAAATGTAACATGTTATATTTCTGGCTAAGCTCTCTTAGTAAAGTAGTAAGACACTCCTGTTCATTTTGTTTGAGTTGAGGTCAATTCGGGATTCGAAACCATACTCTCAGTGTCAGGCACCAAATGTCTAGCCCACAAAGTCAACGACCTAACCCACACAGCCACGGAGGCGGATATTAAATGTGTTATATACAGTTCCAGGACCCATATCAAGGTCTTTCACTTCGTTGTAACCGTGTGACACAGTTGACAAGCATCAAGCTTAAAGCCATGATGGGGCGGTGGGGTAGCCTAGTGGTTAAAGCGTTGGCTCGTCATGCCGAAGACCCGGGTTCGAATCCCCACATGGGTACATTGTGTGAAGCCCATTTCTGGTGTCCCCCGCCGTGATGTTGCTGGAATATTGCTAAAAGCGGCGTAAAACCAAACTCAGTCAGTCAGTTAAGCCATGATACCATACATATTCGTTTGTGTTGGGGAAGACGTATCAGACATACAGAGTTGATTATCTGGTTCAATATGTCCGTAGTCATACTTTACAATAGGCATTTAGCTGTAGCTGAAATATTATGTACCTTAGAAATAGTAGAAGAAACTGTCCCGATACTTATGTCGAATGAATGCAAAATGACTGACCTATAGTTGCTCAAACCGGAAATACGTGACAACGTACATGTAGCACTCATTTGCTTTGTGACAGAAGTTCACATGTATGTCATCAGTTTCTATGAAATCTGAATTCTCAATTGTTTTATCACATTCTATCTGCTGTTATCATAAAGTATTACAACAACACGTTCATTGTTGCATGTCATCTCACGTGTGTACGTTTTAAAAGAGGTTTTATTAAGTTAAACGTGTTCGAAAGTCCGATGTTCCTTCCAGTTGGTAAAATGGTATTAATACAGATTATCAAAGGATGAAAGAAAATAGAGCACAGTGATGTTATTCCATATATTGTATGGAACGTTATAATGTATTTACTGTTTTCAGTGCATTCATGAAGAGGCAAAAACAGTGCGCAATTCGGTCTTCCAATTACAAATCGGTATCGAATCGGTTTCACCTGACAGATCAAGGCACTGTAAAACAAGGTGAATGAGACTTGTGGGGTTTTCATTAGAGGTTAAATCAATTTAAGCGTGGAGGAAAGGAATTCCTTAATGACCATCTGAAGTTTAAACGATACAATAACCAATATTGTTTTATACCAAAAGGAATTACAAGGATCATATCAACTGCTTTGTGTTTGAGCTAAATTGTTTCATGGAACACTGATTGGTTTTCTTTGGCACACACGACCAAGATGGTTATTTAAATATTAGCTTCAACGGAAATTCTCTGTAGCTTTACGAATATGAAACTTGTAGGTTAGGTCAGCTGAAATGTTGAATGGTAGAGCTAAATTCTACCCTGATTTGAAACGTTTGATTCTGCTAAGTCAATGAGAGGTTCAAATCGCAATAACCACCCTGGCTGATACAACTGATTTGATTGGTTATGATACACAGCTGTCTTGTTTCGTGCGGACTTGGGGTGGTGGGGTTCGCCCGGGTTCGAAGATCCGGGTTCGATTCCGTACATGGGTACAATGTGTGAAGCCCATTTCTGGTGTCCCCAGTTGGAATATTGCTTAAACATCTACTCTACCTCTCTCTCTCTTTTCCTCTCTCACTCTGTCTTTCTGTCTGTCTGTCTGTCTGTCTCTCTTTCTCTCTCTCTCTCTCTCTCTCTCTCTCTCTCTCTCTCTCTCTCTCTCTCTCTCTCTCGCCATCGTAGTCAGGTCTCGATAACATGAACACAACTCTGAAGACAACAAGAGATCCTTTCAGATGTATTTAGTAGGAGACTTGGATTCCTGCTAGATATTTTACTTACATACAGGCGGTATTGGAATGCTGTTTAAACAAAGTTCAGCTGGGGCTATATTCCAAGCTTTAAATGTTTCAGTAATTTGAACGATATTCATCATTTGCGATCGCATTCCGACTCGGCCTGATTAAATATGACAACTCGGTCGAAGGCTCTTGACAGGAATTACACTGACATGGGATCAATAATCCAGAGCTGGTGGTCTGTTTTGTCCCTTTTCTATGTCATCATATTTAACATGATCTGTGCCGGCTCCATATATCCATGGGTTGTACGGCTGGAATCCATGGTATCGCCACGTTTCATAGAAGGCACTAGCGACAGCGACTGCTACGACAAGGATCAAGATGGCTTGCCTCAGCATCCCGATGTGATCGAACTGAAATACAGAAATGACTCGTTGTGATTTACCGCTGATCTATTTCATAAATCACTTGAAATGTTGAAAATTCTTAGTTTAGACTTTAACATTGAGGACTAAATATATGTGATTCTGTAGTTTTAGATCACTATGAAACAATAAGGAATATGCATGACATTGAACAATAAAGTTGCGGAATGAGTTAGGATCAAAGAAAAGCCCCAAATGATACAGGTGTTTGACGGGTGAAACGGGTACGGTAACCGGGTACGGCACTATGGCACCAATGCGAATGAGACTATAATCACGAATCTAGGCTTAAAACTATCCATCAACCAATTTTGTATCACCAAAATGACACCATTCTGTACAGGGAATTGCGGTGCGTCAGTGGACATGGCAATATATGACAGACAGACAGACAGATTTATTCAAAAAAGAGGCCTTGGGCCCATGGTGCATACTTTTCTTGGTGATATCATAATAATTGAGTGAAAATAGAGCAGGCACAGGTATACAAATTTGTAATAAATATTATATGGACAAAAAGTGAGTGAGAGTATAGCAGCAGAGCAGGCACAGGTATGCAAATTTGTAATAAATATTATATGGTCAAAATACATTTATACATTGTTGGTTTTAAATGATGAGCCTTACTGTGTACCAGTAATAACTGAAGGGCTAAATGCTTTGGGTTAATAGTATTGAGTCAAAGTTTCCATACTTTATATAAATACAGACATGGATTAATAGTGTTGGCTCTCAGTTTCCATACTTTATATGAACACATACGTATACTATGCAGGATAGAGACAATACAGTGTACCAGTAAAAACTGCAAGACTAAGTGCTTATGAATTAATAGTGTTGGCCCTCAGTTTACATACTTTATATGAATACATACGTATACTATGCAGGATAGAGACAATACAATGTACCAGTAAAAACTGCAAGACTAAGTGCTTATGAATTAATAGTGTTGACTCTCAGTTTCCATACTTTATATGAAAACATACGTATACTATGCAGGATAGAGACAATACAATGTACCAGTAAAAACTGCAAGACTAAGTGCTTATGAATTAATAGTGTTGGCCCTCAGTTTCCATACTTTATATGAATACATACGTATACTATGCAGGATAGAGACAATACAATGTACCAGTAACAACTGCAAGACTAAGTGCTTATGAATTAATAGTGTTGGCTCTCAGTTTCCATACTTTATATGAAAACATACGTATACTATGCAGGATAGAGACTATACAATGTACCAGTAATAACTGCAAGACTAAGTGCTTATGAATTAATAGTGTTGGCTCTCAGTTTCCATACTTTATATGAATACAAACGCATACTATGCAGGGTAGAGACATCACTGTGTGCCAGCAATAACTGTAGGACTAAGTACTTGTGGGTTAGTAGTGTTGGCTCTCAATGACAATATATGCGCACTACTAACACTGAGTTTACAAATAGATAATAAAGATATGGTTTTATGAAACCTACAGTAAATTTGAAAATTCATATACCAAATTGTTCAATTGTATTCTGAACTTTTACTGTTGCCTCAATAAGTATATACATTTCACCATCACTATATCAGTCGGGTTTGCAGTTTGTGTTTTAGCTTTTAGAAATTCAGTGAGTGAGTTTAGTTTTACGCCGCACTCAGCAACATTCCAGCTATATGGCGGCAGTCTGTAAATAATGGAGTTTGGACCGAACAATCCAGTGACACAACATCATAAGCATCGATCTGCGCAATTAGGAGCCGATGACACGTAATCAACAGCCAAAAAATAACTTACATGTGTCGACGTAATAAGCGTTCCTCTTTCCAACTGCTCCCGAACTATGACGCTCGAGCTCTGTTTGTACTTCCAATGTATATAACTCTTGCGTGTTGCGTGTTGCGTGTTGCGTGTTGCTAAATATAGAGGTGATGTTGTCAGTTTTGAACATGCACTATACATCAACGGTTTACACAGTTCCTCCCAGCATTAGCAAAATGAGCAGACCTGGGTAAAGTCAAAACCAAAGCAATAACCTTAACGATGTGATGATAAAAGCGTATTTTACATGAGCCCCTGGTAAAACAACCGGTTGAATAATTTGAGGTTATAATTAAACAATTACAAACGAGTAATTTAAAAAAGTAATATGTGCTTTGTCAAGATGACTCCATTTAAAATATAGCGTATGTATCTTGTGACGCTCAGCCTGTGATGTGCAGAACCAAATAGAAGCCTCTGGTGATCAGAACCAACATTCAGTTTACAAAACATAAGCCTGGATTGAACAGCTTACGCCAAAATCCAGGGTTTGGTCGCTTGTTGCATACACTGGTCACAGGAGGTTAACAATTGTTCACATCACTGTCATGCGATCTTCTGACTCCCATTAACCCAAATCTATGGGTCGTATTGTTAAATTAGTCACCGCCAAACGGATTTCCGTTAAGCTGTCGACTGCCCAACTGCCCTCCGCCAATGGAACCTCCAACGTAAAGTCCGACAATAAAGGAGGTAACGCCAAAAGGGGAGGCCACCAAAATGACCACCGCCATATGGATGACCATCGAAACGCTAAAACGTATTGAAGGGTACAGTGTCATAGGTACCATAAGGACTTAAGGACGAATACCAGCCCAAGGATTGAGACCCGATCTAAAATAGGAGCAGATAGATAATGAGTGATATAATTAAACAATGTTTCGATATATGTTACATTCATTACCCAGAAACATGTGTTATTTATTTAGTAAGAAGGTCTTGACGTGTATTTCTCCGAAGGAGACCCTAAAAGTTTGAAATTCACTTTTTTCACAATACTGTGGTATTTGTTTGTGTGTTGTTTGACGCCCCACTATTCCAGCTGTGTGCGACCGTCTGTAAATAATCGAGTCTTGACAAGACAATCCAATGAATGACATAATGAGCACCGGTCGACGCAATTGGGATACAAGCGAGCCGGTCCATCCGATCCTGTTCGTCGCCTCTTACGATATGCATGGGTTGATGAGGACCGAATCAAGCCTGGATTTTCACGAGTCGCAACGTTGGTGATATATGGCAATGGCTCTCAAAGGTGCAGAATCAGGGAGAATCTGGGATAATATTCAGATGTAATGCTAGCCACTGTCACACGCTGCTCGAGAAACACTCAGACAATCAATACATTTGACTGAGAACAGACGTTTTGCAGATGACATGCGAATGTTGATCTTTGATGCAACGGCTTTTTAACTTGCGGATAATTTCTGTTTAATAATTTTCTAAAGTCAGTTATGGGCTTTAGTAAAAAGGAATGTCTTTAGAGCCTTCTTGAATGAGTCCAGGGTTGGGGCGAGTTTGATATTAAGCGGTAGAGAGTTTCATAAGAGTGGGGCGACATGCTGAAAACATTTCTTTCCAAAAGCCGAACTTTCAGAAGCTGTTTGTCCTGGAAACGTAGAGTTCTGGAAGGCACATCCTGGGTTAAAAGAGATGAGAGATATGGAGGGGCAAGGTTGTTGAGACACTTAAACACTGTGCTCAGAACTTAGAAGTCAACTCGGTATTGAACAGGAAGCCAGTGCAAAGATTATATCAAAGGGGTTATATGATCATATTTCGAACTTAAAGATATAATTATTCTAGCGGCTATATTCTGCACTTCATGTGTTCTTTGGAATGTCCAGTAAGAAGGATATTGCCGTAGTCAAGGCGGGAAGACACAGGACATCTGACTTGGATATGTGACTCTCTATAGTGATATATTTTCGGATGGTACCAGTGGAACGAATGTTAAAGTAGCATGTCTTACACAGATAATCCAAATGTGAAGACATGGAAAGGTCAGACTGTAGCTGTACTCCAAGATCTTTAACTTGATGTGATTGGAAGATACGGGCACAAGCAATCTTCACTTGCTCAACATTTACCTTGTCGATGTGCTGTTGTCTTCCGACCAACAACACCTAAGTTTTGTCGTCATTTAACTTTAGTTTTCTTTCGGTCATCTATGACTTCATTTCAGAAGTACAATTTGTTGTAGGGTGTCAGACATTGATTCGGTGTTAAATCTATTCATCAGATGGACATCATCTGCATACGAGAAATGAGGTGTCTCAAACGTATCAGTTATGGTTTTGAGACAGGTACGGGTACTTAAAACAATCACTCGTACAGCTTTCGTGATAGGGGGACAACTCACACTAATTTCAGCCAAGGTTTAAGCTTCATGTTGCATGTTATTAAGGTGACAATTCTTCACGCAGTGCTTTTTTTCAACGCAACAGAATCAAGTGTATCACGTTAGTCGTGTTTACAGCCGCCATCTTGGAAGTTCTCACGTTGGAACAAGCTAGGTGTGGCTCAAGGGTTACGTCACAGTTATATATATTTTTTAGCATTATATCGAATTTATGTTGAGTTAACATTCAATTAATATGACTAATACTTGGTCAGCTCTCATGTATCTGATTAGATATTTTGTTTTAACATTTCAAGTATACAGGGTACAACTACAGTTATCACAAATGACAAATGATAAATTGTTCAGAGGACGTTTACAGTCAGTTTAAGTGTTTTAACAGTCGCCGATTGTTATCGCAATCCGGCGAGTCCAAAGTCATCCCGACTTCCGAATCCTGTCATTCCAAACTGCCATGTTTACATTATAGCGTTGCTTTAGGATGCTGTATCAGCTAAGGTTTTTTTATCTACAGATGAGTACATTGATCTTCTTGAAATGATCGTGTGTACCGAATTACACGTTGTTATTCGAATTGGATTCTGGACATTTTGACAGTTGTGTACGAGAAGGTCTGGCCTCCTTGTCATTCCGAGTCACGTGACTCCCGGAACGTATTGTTTACGTTGCATGAATCTGGTTCCGGTTCCGGTTGCTGCAAGTTCGTCCACTTTCAAGTTTCAAAGTTTAATGCAAAGGTTATTTGTTTTAACAGTCAAAATATGTCAATCATTTGAGGCATACAGTGTCTGATTCTAAAGCTAGGATGTAACAGACAGTGCCGCGCGACTGGTGTTTCCATTACAGGTGCCAGCAATCTCAGCATCTTGTACAAGATTATTGTCGGTTCAGAGATTAATTACTATTACATTTCGTTAGATGTAACTGGTGGCAGCATCCATTCCTTTTAGATCCTTACGGTCTGGTTCCCAGTATTTCCTGGAGGTACCAACTACCCGAACATAGACATTTGGCGACCGTTCATTCGCAAAATCCGGGCCAGTAATGTGGAACAGTCTACCTATGCACCTGAGATCGCAAGAGAATCTACCAGTATTTAAGTCACAACTGAAAACTCATTTGTTCAGTACTGCCTACCGAACTTGACCAATGTCTTTCCAGACTCATTTCCAGAGCTTTTGAGTGGCACATGCCAGAAACTAGCGCTATATAAATATTTGTATGTATGTATGTAGTTTTCCGTGACGACATATTATAAAGTATCCCTAATACATCTACTATGCTACTGATACTGCCATTTTCTGGAACCTTATTAGCAAAATATGTTTATCATTTTGGTATATATTTGACATTGTAGTATATATTGTCATTGTCAAACTTTAACAAGTATCAAAGAGACCATATAAACATAAATGGTTTTGATAAAGTTTTATGCTTCTAATCGAATTGTAAAGTAACTGTTATTGCAAGGAACGTTTGAATGAGAAATCAACTGAATTTCCTCATCCACCTGATACATATGGGATATCAACTACAATAACTACAGTGATAACAAACTCACAGGGACCACTATGTTTAGTTCGTTGTAACCGTAGCTCTTGTACACATTTCAACTAAGATAAACAGAAGTGGATAGAGACAACAAAGAAACGTTCATTATATCCATCAGTTCGTTAGAAGCGTTTTCGTTTTAAAAATACAAGTAGTTTACCACATGAACAAAGTAACATAAATGCAAAATGTTTTTGAAGTAACACATTTTAGCCTGTAATGGAGAATAGATTCACTTCTCTGCACTTTAAGTATTATCTTGTTTAGAATTGCATCGTGTTTTGAATAGAAATGCTCGGCTGTTGAAAGATTAGCATTGATTGCAGGTTGATAAAAAGATGGGTAGGCGGATTTTAAAAACATTTATCAATGAATTTCAATAATCCAAAGAGTATTTAGATTCCAAGTAATACTGTTTTGAGCTGAGTTAAACTACATCGCCCACTTAATTACACGTTAAGTAGCATGTTCTGCATATTTAGAATTTCACATTCTCATCACCTGAAAACCAGAGTGGCATTTTAAGACTAAAATTGAAATGAATATCAGCCCACTCACATTGGACATGTGAACCTACTTTAGTAAAATCCTTCTTCGTGGCAGCTGACTGTGCATATTACCAATGCGCATTAAAGTGACATTGTCTTGTAGATAAAGCGGTGATATCAGTAAATACGGTATTGTCCCAAAAACTTTGATCGCTGAAGACATGGTCACCCCAAGCTGGCAGCAACGGAAGACGCCAGCCTCCATAACCTTAATCCTACGTGTTAATGAATTACGATCAAGGAGTCATAACACCAGGTGTTCTCCAAACGATAAATGTGTCTTGGAACCTGAGTGAGTGAGTTTGTTTTTACGCCGCACTCAGCAATATTCCAGCTATATGGTGGCAGTCTGTAAATAATCAAGTCTGGACCAGACAATCCAGTGACCAACAGCATGAGCATCGATCAGCGCAACTGGGAACCGATGACATGTGTCAACCAAGTCGGCGAGCCTGACCGCCCGATCCCATTAGTCGCCTCTTACGACAAGCATGGGTTACTGAAGTACAATATTCTAACCCGGACCTTCACGGGTCTCCTGGAACCTGGACATATGTACACTGCTTACTACGACATGTTGTTCGAACGTTATCAGCAGAATGTATGTATCATGCGGGATTTGTTTCTATGAAATAGTATAGTATTAATATAAGTGACTGTGTGTAGGTATATTTGTCCTAGTCATCCGTCGTTGTACTGTACGTATCAACATGTTTAATCCCCTTTAACCTTGTAATGAGTGAGTTTGATTATTGATACCTGGAATTTCCCCCAGGTATCCAACTTATCCCCAGGTGTCACATGATGCTAAAGATCTTTTGACTGACTTTTAATGAAGATCTTAATATTGTGTTATTAAACTGAACCTGCATGCATGATTTTGAGTATTTGCAGCTAAAATGAAAACTGCTGAAGTGAAAAATGAATAATGTTATATGTTGAATTTCTCAAAGTGATAAACTTTCAAGTCTTCCATCACTATGCTATTCTTTCCCTCGTCAAGTTAGCACCTGTAACTCACACACTCATTCAACTTCTTACAGTTGGGTAATGAGGTGGTGGTTCTGGTTACCGTTGGAACTTTGTTGTTAAAATTACTTATTGTTATGATGGGTGTATTTAAATATTTACAATGGTCAACACTGTCAAGGACGGGTGATATAACTTATGGGGAAAGTTCCATATTTCATTATGTTCTTTACTGCAAACTTTGGAATCAGGAATCGGCTTATACCACGCATTAGGCATGGTTCGTGTTTTATGTCCACACATATAGGATATTAGCTTAGACAAAAAAAACAAATTTAAATGCAAAGTAAATGTAAAATAAAACTTTTTAACTTTGTTATGGAGAATAGATGCGTTTTTCTGCTCTCTAATCACTGTCTGCTTTAAAATTGAATCGTGTTATGAATAGTAATGCTCGGCGCTTGAAAGATTAGTACTGATTGAAAGTTGATAAAAAAAGGTAGGCCGATGCATTTTGCAGTAAATGTATGAATAATTATCAATATAGGCTTCATAAAATCTAATATCTTTTATTGATAAAGTAAACATGGAGTTTATAATGGCTACTCTTTGTTTCAATGTCAGCTATTAATTTACCCAGGGCAGGTTACAGCGATATGTTTATGGAAAGAATATGCATGCGAATCTTTTTTATCACTCAGCTGTGCTTTCCGGACAATTGCTTGCAATCTTGCGCAAACAACTTTTGTCTATTTCAATTTATTCATTTTTTTTATCTGAGTAGCATAGAATAACCGGAGGAATAACCAAAACAAAATATCGATGGAAAATGTTAAAAGTTTAAATAAATTTGAAAAATGTGGTAATGTTGATGTAAATTGCCAAGGGACTGTGCTCTTTAGGTATAATTTGTTGGTTTGTCCCCAAGGCGAGCCAATGTGCTATGATATTGCTTATTACCCTGCTTGTTGGTTTCCGCAAAGAATTACTTCGGGTTTTACTCCCAAATCAAACTGACCCGCTGTCGTATACCTGTAATAGCGGATAAAGTAACATTCAAGCCACCAAAGCCGCGATGGCAGAACAAAACAGGTGCAAATACCACAATCATTTACCAGACGGAAATAATAATTTGCAAATAATAAGATCTCGTAAAATTTCTTATGTGTATGTTTAGTTATATTTAATCATGCACTGATTCACCATGAAAAACGTCTTTGCCTCCCTAAGGAACCACTTCCAGCGCCATCTAGCTTTCTTGAAATTCGTAATTGTTTATGCTTTATGGGGGTGTAATCAAATGATCGTGGATTACAATCAAGGATTTCCCCTGACTATGATCCTAGGTGTTTCAGCTACAAAACCAGGAAATATCGCTGAACGTTCAGAGATCATGTCGATTCCCAAATGAGCTTACATGTCCCGATATAACAAAAGTAATGTGGCGTTAACGCCAGCTCAATCGATAAATGAAAACACGACAAAAAACGATAAATAATTTTTTCAAGCTTTCAAGCTCAGAGTCTTCATTAAACTAAAATTTGGTTCACTTTGTGATATAACTGAACGCCGTTGTAAATATGCATGTGTAATTATATATTTTTTAAAAAGCTAATAATAAGAACAACGTAGACTTCACATAATTTAGAGTTTTATTTTCAGAGCGATTGTGACCATTTTTGCATTTCACATTTTCACATTTTCGTTTAATCTAGTGGAACTGTCAAATAACTGTTTCAAACTATAGTGAGTGAGTGAGTGTAGTTTTACGCCCTTTTAGTAATATCCCAGCAATATCATAGCGGGGGACGCCAGAAATGAGCTTCACACAATGTACTCATGTGGGGATTAGAACCCTGGTCGTCAGCGTGACGAGCGAACGATTTAACCACAAGGCTACCCCACCGCCCCTGAAACCATAGTCTACGAGCAGCTGCGGTACAAATGATACAACGGTCTCTTGTGTTCCATCAGTAACCAAGATTGTCGGGGTAATCTGGATAATCGGGGTAATCCAATCTTCCAAATCCCTCGAACACGCTGAGTCTCCTTTGGTTCAACAAGCCGCCGCCAAACTGGAAACCACCGAAAGGTCCACCTCCAAATATACCGTCTCCAATCCAGCCGGCGCCAAAGGGACTTCCTCTGGAAATCCCAGCGCCAAACGGGCTAATCCCGAAAGAGTTGAACCGTACATATGGATTAAGGAAGGCTGATGTGAAGGTAAATGCAACTGCAGAGATGAGTAACACGTACATCAACACTGTGAAGGGGATGTCTGCAAGAAATATGACACGATTGCATCACTGGTTGTTGTAAATACATAGTGACTTTCCGCCATGCTGTGATATGAAGAAGAGGGAAGATCTATCTTATTAACCAAATTAGGCTGGTAACTTGAACTTTCAGTGCACTGGAACATTCATTGAAACTATTTCCACTCGGGTTTAAATGGTACCAAAATAAGAAGCATTACAACTCATTAGATTACAATTGATTGCTACGATGATAATGTTGGCAGCATTCGGAATAACGTTACTCATGCTTGAGCCTGGACAGAATCGCCCCAAGAGTATCAATTTCAGTATCTCACAGCATTTTACGTGACTTCGTGGAGTGGTTTGTGATACTGAAATTCTTCAGGTTGCCACTGCAGTCAGTGAAATAATTGGAAGAGACAGTGAAAATACTTACGAACGCTCATGTAGATCTGAGAGCTCCAAGTCGAATTCGTACTGTGGTCACTCTTTAATGTTCTTTATATAAGGAGTACAATTGAAAGGTCAAGCCAAAAATCTAATACTCACATATACAACACATGACAGAGTGTCTTTGTTGTCCTGTGTGCCCCAGAGCAATGACAGCAACCGTATGATCAAATGTTTCCAACTGTGGGATAGGATTATGTACAAACATATATAGTGATTGATGAAAACGGTTACCTTTTTCATCTATTGGTATGGATAACAGTTACAGGCTACAATATATCATTAGCATCTTTCTCCATCAGAGAGTTGTAATACCAGGTTTCCCAAATGTTAGCTTATTCTGGACCATTGATGGCAACTGTTACAAGCAAGTGAAATGCAAGTCAATTATTTAAGTTAAAATATACAACCTCGGAAACATGTGTTAAAGTAATATAAGGAATTGAACACACTAACGTAAAGGTTAAGAATGAAGATCAATGGAGTCGTACATTTAGGATACCTAGGTCCAATAATTCTACGGATGAAGCTGGCCTGCAGAACAGTGAATCTACATGTTTTGTCATTCTGCTTGTCACTAAATCGTGTCGTGAAAACGTTTGTATAAATGAGTGAATGAGTATGGTTTTACACCGCTTGTAGCAATATTCCAGCAATACACCAAATGGGGACACTAGAAATTGGCTTCACACATTGTACCCATGTGACTGACTGACTGACTGAGTTTGGTTTTACGCCGCTTTTAGCAATATTCCAGCAACATCACGGCGGGGGACACCAGAAATGGGCTTAACACATTGTGCCCATGTGGGGAATCGAACCTGGGTCTTCGGCGTGACGTGCGAACGCTTTAACCACTAGGCTACCCCACCGTACCTTGGGTAAAGGAAAAGGTAAGATAATTTGATTGTATACATTAGCAAATCTGGTACGCATTAGTACAAACTTTGTCAGGTACATCCATGCGTGTATGAATACGAAGTGGATGCATTCATTGATCAAATGCAGATTATTAATGAGTGAGTGAGTGAGTGAGTTTAGTTTTACGCCGCTTTTAGCGATATTCCAGCAATATCACGGCAGGGGACTCCAGAAATGGGCTTCACACATTGTGCCCATGTGAGGAATCGAACCCGGGTCTTCGGCGTGACGAGCGAACGCTCTAACCACTATGCTACCCCACCGCGAGGTGGTATGTAGGCTTGTATAGACTGAATATTTATGTAAGACTCAAGTGTGCCAAAATGGCGGTATTCAAACAGTATTTGAAAATGAGCAAGTCACTGAAAGAAGCCTTCTTTAGGATCTGAAGATAAAGACGCATGGTAGAATTATCATTCTGGCTTGTGGTTACATTTTCTCTTGGACATTGAAAAAATGCGTTTTTATCCTCATGCTGAGTGTACTTGAACATTTCAGAATATTACAAAAACATGTTTGTGAAAGAAACACAAAATACCAGTTGTCAATCATTGGACATGATCTGATACTTTCCATGACACTGTTGGAAAACTTAAACCTTTGACATTTCAAGTCTCCATAAGAAATCCTTCACCCTCCGGGGTTCATTGTGATTTGAAGCGTAAGCTCCTTGCATTATTGATTTACATTTACACATAGTATAAAAGCAATTGATTATACAAAAAGGTTATTTAGTCGACAATAATCACAGTTAACACGAGAATCAGAGCTTTATTCATATCTGTATATGCTGGAATGTCGTGCCTTATAAATATGAGCGAATTTTCATTCCTGTAGTCAAGTCTTCCCATGAGGAGCAACTGCTTAAAAACTTTCATGTGGACACCATCTTTTATCTTGTATGTTCTCTTGTAAAGCACTAGCCTTTAAATGATACTACAAATAAAGGTTCGAATTCTGCATTGAACATTTTAAGAATGACTGTAGTTTAATGTCTTTGAAAGCAATATCTTAAATGTGATTAGCCCATACCACAACGTCCACCACAATCGGGGTACGATGACGCGCAATGAAGTAAATCACCAATCACCAGATGAATTTCAGCTACCTCCTCAACACACTTAATAGAGTGTTGGTTACGTGTTCTTATCGCCTTTTCGTTGAACAGTCATGTTTAAAGCCGATATACCCAGGTTAGTCGGCATGTTGTAGTTGTACAATTCCGATTATATGATAAGCGTAATTATGATGATACCCATTGTTAGCCCGTAGGGGAACAATACAGAAACCCTAGGGTATACAGTGACGGCGTGTTTTCAAGCTAAAAGCGCAAGGTGGAAGGATCTACATCAAAACGTCGCTCTAAGCAATAAACAAGAAGTTGTTATCCAAAAGTCGTATGCTTTATTACCAACTCACCAACTTCTAGAATGCCGTTCAAACAAAAAGAGCAAGTGTTTATGCAAAGAAATATATATCAGTTTATTGGGGTCCGAAAAAAGCATGGTCAAGACTGGGAATTCTTTTGCACTGACGTTCCATAGTTTCTAAGATGTCAACGATGAGCCAGTGATCCTGGTTGACGTATATGTGCTTCATTAGCATGTAGCAGCATGTAGCGGCATGTAGCCAGGATCCTCCCTTGGCTACTTATGTATTGATGTGAAGCAGACCTGTATACTTATAACAACGGCAGATCGTACATAGCATGAAAGACAAGTATATATCTTTTGAGGACATTTTGGTTTCTAAATGAACACGAACTAATTACGTCTGGCACACAATCATGTTTGTGTTTTGTGATGTTCCTATGCACTGTTGCATTGGCAATGAACGGTTTTCGATGAGAAGACCTCATCGGAAGATGCTGGTAATAGGCGATATAATGCATCCAGTGATTTGGCTGAAAGTGTGTGTGAAGTACCCCGACGGCATTTAATCGATGCTCCTAACATCATCTCACTCATAATGTAATTTCTGAAGACAGCAGAAAAGGGAGATGAAGAACTGTCAAAAGGCTGTCTTTTAAAACCATATTCAAGGATAGTCACGTGTGTGATCAGTAATAGCTTCGTGTACATCATGAGGCGATTAACTCAAGGTTGGAACAGATGGTTCTGTTGTCTGTGGTTCCGCAAATCTATTATTCTGTTGCCAACCATAGCATTGCCATGACTTTACGTGCGTGGGTTCGAATCCCGTATTCCGGTTTGGCAACGCATCGCCATAACGTTGTAAACGGAAATGGTTTCAATGAAGTGTTTGAAGTTTTATGTATTTCTGTTTTCAGAAATATAACAGATGATACATAAAACGAATATGGTTTCATAGCGCGAAACGTAAACCACTCACTAGGACCTGCTTCAATTACTGCTTAAATGCAATAATCACCAGAGAAGCCATGAAAACTAACATTCCGTCCACTGCACTGAAAAAACATCCCACTCACAGATATACATTGTAAATCTGATTTTTGGTTCAAGTAAACATAAAAGACTACTCACCTACAGACACTGATCTTGTAAATCTGATATTCATTTCAAAACAATATTGGTGAAAACAGAAACCATATACGTATTTAAAATGCTATTTCAGTAGCTTCAGATTAGAAGTCTGTTTCACATTTTCATTCATATTTACTTGAAGGCGTCATGTCCGTAATCCTTAGAAAAAAAATCAGCGTGTGAACTCATGTTCTATCAGTGGTTATGGGGTAATCAAGATCATCCGGTTCATTGGGACATTCCGTAATATCTCCCGTAACCCTGATTACTAGCAAGCCACCTCCTTACTTACTTACCAAAACATCCACCTCCAATTTAGCACCTCTGAATCTGCCGTCTTCAAACTGGGCGACGCCAAAGGGACGACTAGTGCCAGAATAGTCGAACCATCCATGAGGATTAAAGAGGCTTGATGTAAAGGTGAATGTTCAATTGTACAAAGAGAAACCTTTGGTTCAATACAGTGGAGCCGATGTCTACACAAACAAATTTACTTTCATTGCAAAACTCCAATGTTTCAAATGTATCCCGACACATGCTTGTTTCTAAAGGTTTCATAAGAAAGACATTAGTATGCAAGTTAGAGACGGCCGGACACTGATCTTTGACACGCGAACAAGGCTGAGACACTATGAGCATTACGGCCATGCTAATGGGTCCATCAATAGTAAACGTTATCCAAATTCAGTGGTATTTTCTGCATTATTTAAAACACTTACTAGAAGTGTACTGGCGATTAGTGACCTGTCTCTGAGAGTGTGGGTTCGAATCCCGGATGGGACTCAATCCCAAATGCACTAGTATCGGTACTTTACTGAGAAAGTGTTATCCGATACATTTGACAATTTTCTAAATGGTATTGTGCAGCCAGGACTTAAGTCAGCAGATTTTGAAGAAAAGTCGCTCAGTAAACACAATTCTTCTTACTTCTGAAATGACACACTATAAAGTATAAATTTATGTTCGAGATCATGTTCTCTTATGCAATAATGGGATTTTAGCAACACGTACTGAAAACTAGCAGGGAAAAAGATCACATACTGCGATCACATACTTCATCATATTGCGATATTTATCATGGGAAATAATGTACAGCATGTTACCCTTCCTTTACAAACATACTGTAATACTTCTAGCAGGTGTAAGATTTTCCAGTTAAACATGCTGAAAAGTGAATATTAATAATGTTAGTTTGACATAATCTGATCACTATATAGCTTCATAAACTGGAAGACATCTCACTCAGAAGATAGCATTCCTTGTGGCGTCATCTTTCGAAAGAAGCAAACGTAACGTCGTGTTCAACATTTACAGAGTGAATTTCGGTTAACAGGTTGGGATTCAGTGAAACAAAGTTTTTGTCCTAAAGAGATGTCATTTGATATATTGCCACAGCGTGAAACAGTGAAAAAGTGTCTGAAACATGATGGCATTCATTCATTTTTCTTACTTTTCAAACGGATTCAGACTCGATTATTTACAGACCGACGCCATGAAGCTTGAATATTGCTTATTGCGGCGCTAAACAACAAACAATACAAAAACTGTTCAAAGACTAGTTAGTAATAAAACTTCATATAGTGACATTGTAAATGTATTATTCCACCTCTGTTGTTGCAGTTATGGGCACATCGCCGACATTTTAAGTTGATAATAAAGGCAATGATGATGATGATGATGGCATGAAAACTATTTGTTTGAGCTGGAAAACGATTTGTCTCTCTCTTATATAATCCCAAAAGGAAAGTTATTACCCTTTTGGACAAAAAAACATCGCCCACTGATATCATGGTTTTATAAGCCTGGGGTTTCTGTCTAAGCTGTCTTAGCAAAATAGATTACACGCAACCGGACTGTGATATCATCTATTTATGTCAGTAACTGATATCTAGCAATCTGATTCATCGCCGGCCACCCAAAACACGTACTCAACCAGATAATGTCATTGTCCGGGGGTAAGTTACTCCGCTTATCCGGAATCTCTACTCGGTAAATATAGAAGTTTTAAACAGATACTTTAGTTTAACAGAGGCTTGAAGTACATGTGAATTTGTATTAAATAAGGTTACTCTTTTGAGAATAGTACTTATGATATCATGTCTGTGCTACACGCACATATTTTCAGCGTTTCAGTGATAAGCCAGTCAAATATTTCATAAAATACGTTTTAATTATCTACCTATGGTGCATACACCTGACGTGATTATCAGTTCGATGAGGATAAGGATAATCATCAGATCTTCCGAATCACCCGAACTCCGGCATTCTTTTGGTTGAATTGTTCCAGGTTTGCCTCTCATGTGATCTACACGGTTATCAAATCACAGTTCAACGACTGCACAGCAGCTTCATCAGTAATCACGATTGTCTGGAAACTGCCGAGTCCATAAGGTCTCCTTTGATTGAAAATCCCTGGGAATCACCGAAACAACCACGTTTGAATCCACCACTTCCAAGTAAACCTCCTTCATAAAGTTGTATGTTTCATTTTTTTCTCCTCCAAAGTAGACCGGTTCCGAATCGGACGGCTCCAAAGGGACTTCATCCAAAACATCCAGCCCCCAAAGAGTTGAACCATCCATGTTGATTAAAGAAGCCAGTTGTTATGGCGTATGCAACCACAAGAAGAAAATAAACACTTATTTCGGTATAGTAGCGTTCATGTCTGCAAAAGAATAATTTGTTGATAAAACAATTAAACCGCACTTAATAAAAAATGTCAATGCAAAGGGGAAAGTACACTTAAAGAAATGAACAACCAAGCAGTTACACAGGAGTCAGTTCATTAAATATTATTTCACCACTAAACTGACTGAGGGATTGACTGATGGGACAGGGGGATAATTATTACATATGGCCACATTGTTTCCCAATAACGTTATCTGTCTGGACTGGACAACTATTGATTATCAGTTTGATCAGGATAATGATGGAACTATTGATATTAAATACGGGTATATTTTTTTAAAATTCATAAAGAATGCGGGTATTGTAAATCTGTCTTGTTTTATAAAATATACACAGGGTGATGGAATGGTGGTCTCCTTTGTTGCAATTCCACTCCTTGTCATTAAGAGAAACAATTATGTTTTACAGACTCTAAAAATGCTGAAAACTTAATTCAAAGTCCGTAGGCAGATAGAGTTCGTTGAAGTAGCAAATTGTGGCTCGAGGGAACGCTGAATTAGTTGAACTCTGACAGCTAGAACGTCAGCCCACATTGAATAATCATTCTGGAATACTTCGCTTGCTCTAAATCACACTAACAACATGAAAGTAATCATTGACTCATATAACCCCGACTAGACGATAATGAAATCAAATATTTGCAATCTTAATATCATATTATCTCAGTTTAGAAGAGAGACCACAAACTGTTATTGGCAGCACCGTACCCGATCAATAGTTAGCGCCGAAGGTTGTTGGCATGGATATAATGAACGTATATGCTTGCATTATATGGATATTCATTGGGTTATTTATATTTACAGGAGATATGTACAGGTGGTCTCTTCAAAGACATTGCAATAATACTCGACTATATGTAGTACGGTGGTAGAAAGGATATGGTCTGGTTCTGGCTTAAAGGCCCTTGTTTTAAAATGATTGTTATCTTCTAAAATCAATGATACATGCTCTGTTGTACAATGTACAAGAATACCTGAAGGATATTTTCACGAGATTTCAAGGAGAACTTACGTTACAAAGCGATATTTACCACTGTTCTTTAACAAGAGGAAACGGAACCTGTATGTTGTGTCTGTAAGTGTACCCAGTTCCTATATTCCTAATTCTAGGGATCTTACCAAAAGGTCAAGTGATTATGCCGTGTTATTATATACTTCCCATCAAAGGTTTAGACTCACTTAAAACACTCACTAAATGTTATGTGTGTATATATTTATGGCTACATCGAAGATGGATTTCTCCACTAACTTGGGGAACAAACTGCAACCTTATGCAGATGAATTGCACGAGATCATGCATCAAATTGCTGAAAAGCATGTTCAAATATCGTGCATGTGAACAGCTGCGTTTGTGAAAAGGTTTGTTAAGAATTCGACAATTTTCACTGAATTTTAGCATTTATTGAATCATCATTATAATCTTTTCAACGTTACGAATTCGTTTACAATACATCCGTTCATGTGTAAACATTACCTTTGAAGAGTATAGAATATTTTGCAAAGTTTAGTTTAGAACAGTTGCCTGAAGTAAGTGGCTTATATTTACACTAGTGAGTCTAAACTTTTGATGGGAAGTATATTTTATGTCTGAGTAAAACTACAGTGGAAACCTCCTAAGTAAAGACCACTTAACTAAACAGACCTGATAAGTAAACACTTTTCTTTTGTCCCGGCAAATTTCTTCATTAATTATCACTATTAGAGTCCGTATATGCCTTAATTGCGTTTATGTCTCACAGTTCAACATTTAGTACTTAAGACAGGCGTTAATACAAGAGCAAGTAGGCTACAAGTTCCTCGTTCATTTCTTTTGTAATCGTAGTAACTGTTAAATATATATACGTGAACGAATTAAGGTTCACACGATCAAGTTTATTACACTTAAAATGACCGCAAGATATTTATTACATCCACAAATGAAAGTGTCCCTGACACAAACCAATCACACATCAACCAGTGTGCAGTTATAAAACGATGCCAGGGCAGCAGCAAAACGTTGTGAGTCAAAGTCCCAGGCAGGATGCAATTGTCTCCTGATCTCGTAGAACTGTGTGGTGGAGGGGAATATTTGCTGATTCAAGATCAGGTTCACGTTGCACTCCCGAAGGAGTTCTATTTTCTGATTGTTCCATGAATACGAAACTGTACAAAATACCATATATCACGTTGATGTTGCTGAGACCACCATTGGTAACCGCATGACCGCATTCAGATAGGGTTTGTGATGACGTCGGAACATGTTCCCCGTCTCATGTCCGATTGAATACGTGGAAAGTACAGTTATGTTTCCATTTATTCGTGTTTGGCACATACAATGGCCAGTAAACCTGAATAGATGTTACTGTTTGTAAAGAATAGACCGTAATACAGCATTAATTTGCCTGCTCGTAATCCCTTTTATAAACCCTCTTTCGTCATGGCTGCATTAATGTCTTTGGATTCTATAATTTGTTTTGTTGATGAATTAAACAGAGCACAACAACCTAGAACTAATGGGGAAACATTTGCCTCGGATCCAGGAATATTCAGCTAAATGCTATCATGGAATAGATTGCGTTTAGGATTTATGTTAGTTTGAAGGGTAATTTTCATTGATGGTCTTATAAAGTCTATAGGGATGTCGTTAAACAATGCGAAGTGAGACCCGTGAAGGTCCGGGTTAGAATATTGATCTTCAGTAACCCATGCTTGTCGTAAGAGGCGACTAATGGGATCGGGTAGTCAGGCTCGCTGACTTGGTTGACACATGTCATCGGTTCCAAGTTGCACTGATCGATGCTCATGCTGTTGGTCACTGGATTGTCTGGTCCAGACTTGATTATTTACAGACTGCCACCATATAGCTGGAATATTGCTGAGTGCGGCGTAACAACAAACTCACTCACTCAGGTTCCAAGACACATTTATCGCTTGGAGAACACCTGGTGTTATGACTCCTTGATCGTTATTCATTAACTAAACTCACTCACTCACTCAATGCGAAGTGAAGTCTTATGGCCGTCTATGCATAAAGATGCTTGAGGTTACGGGACTTTGGAAAGGCATCAATGTGCCTATTAGGTGTAGGAGTTTATGTTGATACGTTTTCGTCCGATATGTCCTCTCGTCTGTAGCTAAAATGTCACATAGCTGAATTAAGACAATTTCTAGACATAGATAAGACATGACAACTTATGATGATTAGTCCAGCTTCAGTCACAACACTTGCATTAACCTATTTGCTTTTCTGTACTCGAGAATATTAAACAACAGTGTGAACGTCACTGGTATCACTTGATGAACAGTAATGCGAGTATCTCCATTTCAGATGAAACAATGCGGAACAATATCCTTCTCAGAATCTGTTAAATCAATATTCATGCCGAACATGATCCCCGGTTCTGTTGTAATCGCCGTATCCTCAGCCAGGGCTTGAAGTACCATCCACCATCTACCTCCCAAAACATCCGAAGGCGTTGAATCTTGCCCAGTTGAAGGCTATTGCCTTGCTGATAACACCGAGGATAATGGTCACTTGCTTCGGCATTATTTCCAGGTCCCTTTAAAGCTGAAACAGCAGACAGGTCAGACAGTGATTCGATGGAACTCGGCAAGATACAATCACGCAGTATGCAATTGTCGTTTAGTGATAGTGATTAACCCCTGGCCTTAGGTCCCTGATGTGTCAGGCACTTATTATTTGTCACATACATAAAAGAAAATGTCCACACAGTTGTCTCTTAAACAGTGTTACATAGGCACAACAAAGCATTTCAATGATGATTGTCTAAACACCTGTGTATTATTTTTTTTTAATAATTTTTTATTCATTTAAAATCAGTAGATACAAATATACAAAGTACATGATGCAACAACACTTGTACACCGTAAAACAGAAATTCATATGGGTTGGCATTACACATATTGGAATATTCATTAAGCTGGGAATGTGTGCAGTAGAGATGACCATTTTCTGTCAAATTGTAATATGTTTTGTTTCTTACTGGCAATAAACTTTTCTGTCTTGAAAATATCACTCAATATTTTTACAAATGTATCCAGTGATAACTTATTTTTTTTAATACTTGATATATGGATATATTTTTTACTGGCAAGAAGTATGTCTTCATAAGGTTGTTATTATTTCCGCCAATTAAGACTGTATATTTTGTCAGGGTAAAATTTTCTGATGATTTATCTTCAATATATTCTTTCAGTTTCAACCAGAGCGTTTTCACACACTCACATTCCCAATAAACATGTATAAACACCTGTGTATTTGTATTAAACACCAGACGATGACATGATAGCGATTGCTAATTTCACTTCGTTAGAACCAGGGCTCCCGATCCACAAAGCGTTCGTAACGTTGGGACTGGAACCAACGAGCATACTTTCATGCCTCTGGTTTTCCAGAGGTGTCGCAGTACAAATTCAAGTAATACCAGAACAGTAATTAGTGAATGAGTGAGTTTAGTTTAACGCTGCACTCAGCAATATTCCTGCTATATGGAGGCGGTCTGTAAATAATCGAGTCTGGACCAGACAATCCAGTGATCAACAGCATGAGCATCGATCTGCGCAATTGGGAAACGATGACATGTTTCAACCTAGTCAGCGAGCCTGACCACCCGATCCCGTTAGTCGCCTCTTACGACAAGCATGGGTTACTGAAGATCAATATTCTAACCCGGACCTTTACGGGTAGAACAGTAATTATAGCAATAAAGACAATGATATTTATATTCCCCTCTCAGCCACAGTAATCCAACTTGCATTTAGGACCAGGTAGGGTCTGATCATCACACACAATTCTGGTCCTCTGGTGACTTGAGATGTATCGTGAGATGAGATAGATATATATTACCCATCGAAACTTTAGACTAACTAATGTAAATGTAGCCACTTACTTCAGTCAATTATTCTAAACTAGACTTTGCAAAATACTCCATACTGCTTAAAGGTACTGTTTACACGTGAACTGTTGTATTGTAAAACAACTTCGTAACGTTGAAACGATTACGGTCATAAGTTCAATAAAAGGTGAAACTGAGTGAAAACTTGCGAATTATTAACAAAACTTTACACCAAAACGCAGCTGTCCACATGCATGATATTTGAACATGCTTTCCAGCAATTTGATGCATGATCCTCGTGCAGTTCATCTGCATAAGGTTTGCAGTTGGTTCCCCAAGTTAGTGGAGATATTCATCTTCGATGTAACCATATACACTAAACGCCAAAAGAAACGTTAACCTCCTACCTTTATGAATTACATGTACTTAAAAAACTATCAAAGATATGTTAGAAGGTATTAATTTAAAAATTTACAGCTTTATGCAAATCACAAAAAACTAATTCTCAAATGCATTCATATTTCGGTGAAATGCATCTTTTTCAGACGAGTTAAATTGTCCTATTTTCGTCCATGCCGAAAAAAACCCCCCAAAACAGTGATTTAGATGTCCAAAAGAAAGGTTGAAATAAAATTCTGCTTCGGGACAAAGATAAACCATTGAAAGTCACCATTTTTCAACTATTAAAACAAGACACAACTGTTGTAGAGTGTGTAAAATTGTAAAATAATCATTTCTATAATTCCAGTCTTTAAAACATTTTCTGCTGATTTGCATTAGTGAAAACAAGTAAAACGTGTCTTTGATATTGTGAACAAATGTTTAGGATCTTCTGAACATTATCTCTGTTAACATTTTTGCTTGCAAAGTAACATTTTGCCATTTTCTGTTTACACATATCAATATCAATCGCCTAAATGCAGCAATATTCAAGCAGTATTTGAATACATTTCACGTGTAGAATGATTCTATAGGGTACGAAGAGAGCCTAGAATACATGATATGATACACAAGTACGAGAAATATGCCACAATTAACAGCTGAAAAGAGAGAGAGAGCCACTTGGATGGTGCAGATGGGGTCGACATACAATGCTGTTGCCAACGCCCTCGGATGCAACCGTATCACGGTTATAAGACTTAGTCAGGGCTTCAGACAGACAGGGGTCACCGTAGACAGACCAAGAAGTGGACGTCCACGCATCACAACGCCAGCTGAAGACGGGTACCTCCGTCATTAAGGAAGGAGGGTAACGTTTCTTTCGGCGTTTAGTGTATATATATACATATACATAACATAAAGTGAGTAACTTTAAGCGAGTTTAAACTTTTGATGGGTAGTATAGAACACCTCTGCCCCTACTGATAAGTGGTGAACTGGGTTTCCAGAATTAAAATTGAACGTTAACTTTCACTTGAATAATTGTCAGTAACATTGATAAATATAGTATTATTCGTACAGCTTGTCATATCTGAACATAGTACCAAAAGGTATATAAGCACTGACATCAAATATATTATACATGTACTATTGTACTAATTGACATGGAAGAATGTCTCAAATACGTCTAGGCTGACCATGTTAAGAGAGTTACAGTCGTATTGATTGATACACATTCTTTCGTGTTGATTTCCGAGCTGAATCTATAACGTTAACCGGCAAACCAACAAATAACATTGCGTTGTGATGTAATTAACAGTTGTATCAAAACTTATGTAAGTTCAGAAATCAGGACAAATCAATACAGTGGTGTCGATATAACAGTACAAATGGCAGTGCTATGGCAGAATGGCAGCAAGAATTCAAAGATGATATAATACAAGAGCAGTGATTATAGCAATAACGGCAGCGATGGTAATAGTGACCTCTCAGCCACAGTAATCCAACTTGTAACTAGGCAGAGTATCCAGGGTATAATGACCAAACACACAATGCTGGTCTTCCTGTAACTTAAGACAGATGAGAGGAAATATTTAACTGTCATTATATACCTGATAAAAAAGATGCAAGAACGGTTTACACTTACAATGATTCTAGAATAAGATCCTTGTAGCACTTTCCAGATCTATCTGTCTAAATCGAGTACGAGTTAAAATATAAGAATGAAGCATACAACTTTATTTTTCACTCACCAACTTCCAGAATGCCGATCAAACAATAGGTTTATTATTGAACAACTTATTTGATCGTGAGTGCGACGTTTCGATACAGGTTCTTGTACCGGTGTCAAGAATCTATATAAAAAAATCGCACTGACGAAGTAAAGATGTTTTATCCCAAGACGTTGTTCACTATTGTACGTCTCAACTTTTAAAATGCTACTCAAGCAAATAATTTTATTAACTTAAAATAGAGCACACCACTGCACCTCACTGAATATCATTTTTACAATATATCACATTTGGAACATTGTTCGACAATAAATATCACTGCCACATAATATGTACATTTTGGGTTACATTATAAAATTGTCTTACGAATCAGTCAACTGGAGACGAATATGAAATTATTTATCACGAAGTCTTGTTACGCATTGCTCTGAGCAAGCATGGTGAACATTCAAGACACGAGACGGCTAACAGGAAGATCCTTATTTTAGAAATCCTGCCTTCAAGTCGATATTAATCAAATGCAAAAAAGTATCATGTATTGCTATGTTCGCAGATCCGGACATACTGTGAGTAAATATAGAGTAAATGCACGAAAGACAGTTTCCATATATACCACTTATACCGCCTAATGTACGTATCACATATTGCTGCTTGAGGGAATCAAAGCTCACATCACCTAAATACTGGGATTCATGCACGCTATCAGTGTCTGGTAGTGTGCTTTTGGGGGAGTATGTGACTGCACTGTGCATAGGTGGTTTATGTGTTGCTTTCCTGTATATACTGGTATAATCTAGATGTATCATAGGTTGTTATTTATGACGAAAGTCTTAAAGGGACTATTTATATCACCATTGTCTATTCAATATAGAATACAGAAAGTCGGTGCTAAAGAATACCCATTTTGACTGTCCTCAGAAACTAATTCCGTTTGGGCGTAAAGGAAATAATAGCTTTGGAAAAGGATCAGTAAAAATCAGTGATGACACCAGGTGTTCGCAAAAAAGGTAAGCATGTCCTGGGCCCCGTTCCTCAAAGCGATTGTAGCGCTACGACAGTCGTAAGTCTATGTTAAAGTATGAGAGTTACGATCATCTTAGCGCTACGATCAGTTGTAAGCCCTACGATCAACTTTACAATTATCGTAAATAACAATTTATTGTCGTTCTTCCATGCTATTGTAAGGGAATTGTAAGTCTCGCGATATTTTGAGCGAAAGTTAGAAATAATGCGTTTACATTACTTCCGGTTGGTGAGTGCTGCTTCCTCTTTCAAGCAGACGAAAAATTAATCCACCCTTAGCAAGATATCGCAAAGTAATTAAAACCTTGCTTTCTACGGATAGTGCATGTAAACGCTGGGTGTCCGAGGATAACCCAGGTTCTAGCATGTTTACCAGCTTCAGAATGGAAGCTCTTATCATTCTGTACCTATTTCAACGTCATTGTAAACATCAAGAACATGACAACGGTCTCAAAATATCCTCTCAGGGCCAAATTTCTGTCTCCTTTGTTTTTGAATTACAAAAACGCCGCCATCTTGTTCATACACAACAATCGACGGTCATAAGCAGCTCACGGAAGTGATTGTAACTTACAACTATTGTAACTTACAATTGCTTTGAGGAACGGTGAAGTGATTGTAAGTTAAAGTTACAATTGGATTGTAGTGATTTGCAACAATTGTAGTGTTACAATCGCTTTGAGGAACATGGCCCAGCCTGACTGGTCGCCAAGACAATAAACTACAGCCGTACTGCTGATGTAACCGCCCTTACGTATTTGTAACCGCGAATGAAAGGACGCACCGTTCATACAAACATGTGGCATTTCACTGTGGCTGAGATGTGCTGATGTGACCTACAGTTAGTATCACTCATGGATACATGTGGAATAACTTATGATACCCCCTTACAATGTAATGCTACACACTCTAGTGAATGTATGGTATGAAATGGGATTCACACATTGTACACATGTGGGGAATCGAACCCTGGTCTTTTGCATCACGAGCAAACGCTTTAACCACTAGACTACCCTACCGCCCCTGCTATGAAGTGGATGCGATGTAATGATATACACTATTGTGAATGTATGATACGAATTCTACGTGATGTAATGATATGCAGCTTTGTTAATACAGTGTAACATCGCTTTGTCTATCAAATGGCATGCAATGTACATCATTTATTTAGTCTGTCTCACAGTTCCTGAACTATTTTATAGAACTGACCAGTCCTAAATACAATACTAAGGCCTGAAATGAAGCGACCCAGATAACCCTTGACACTAGATGTAGTTGCTTGTTTCTTTCAAAATAGAAGAGATTACACGACATACAATGTTATGATCCACCAGGTGTCAACGTTATGCTATCATATACTCATGGAAACAAATAAGGGAACACATGAAGGTACAAGTGTTCCTTTATTCTTTCCCAGGTTTCTTCACAAGGTATATATTGCACTGTGGGTGAAATTCTGGAGATAAATAAAGGAGGTGAGGTGAGGTGAAATTGGGTTTTACGTCGTGCTTGCTTGAGAATATTTCGCTCATATGACGACGTGCATGCGTGTGTATGTGTATGTGCGGATGCTTGTACTAGCCGGTTTTATAGTGCTAGCCCACTGAGATACCATGCCGCAGTGAAGCATGAATACCCCACTCAGACACATTATACTGACTCCGAGCCGACCAGTCCTTGTAGTACCCATTAATGCCGAGCGCCAGGCAGGGACCAACAAGTACCATATTTTAACGTCTTTTGGTATGACGCGGTCGGGGATCGAACCCGCGACCTTCCGCTCTCCCGGGCGGACGCTCTAACCACTACACCACGGAGGCGGTCTATAAATAAAGGAACTATGGGTTCTAGGAGTATACAATGCATGTTTTGTGATGGTATCAGTTTTGTATATGTAATGGGATACAATCGGGTTCACACACAAAGAGTCTGCAG